TGCATGAAATCAAAAAAATTCCAAAGTAAGCGATATAATCTATAGTTGTTTCCTTCATATAGTAATTTTTAGCATTAATAATCAAAACATGAGCATATATTGGTAATAAATCTCATATCTTTAATTGGGTGAGCAAGGGTGCTTAATTCATGACCTTTCCCCCCTCATACCTGAGTTCCTGAGCCGAGACACTTTGGTTACGATAGACAATGGCCTTTGGCATGAGTCATGGGCTTTTTAGTTTTCCCAAAAGATTAGGTGGCGACTCTAAGTCTAGTGATGTAGTCCTTTTTTAGCATTTCTTGTGTTTAGTGGATTTTCTATAGATTTACCAGATTTGGACTCTCATATGTTCCACATTGCACTAGTGGAATTAGACCAAGGGTTCAAACTGTTGGGTGTGCTCGAACCCACCAGTCTAGGAGATCCCACAGTTTGTAGGAATTCCACTGGGGAGACTAAATGAACATGACTTGAGAATTCTAAATATGAGATTTGTTTCTATATATATGTTCATTGCATTGCATTTACATTTGTGCACTTTAAATCCTTGTGTTTTCTACCTGATATCCTGGATGACTTGCCGGTCATCGGCTCTGTCATGGTGGGAACACAACCATTGGATCTGGATTCCCAATGTACCGCTTGATCCTCCTTTTAATACTCAGTGGAAGGTGTGAGATGTATATCAATGAATCTTGCTGAGGTACCTATTTTGACCAATCTTACCCATTGCATATAGTGAGCTATAGTGCCTTCCAATCTAGGACAGAATACTCTCCCATTTTTAGGACGTTGTGATGCTTTTGTTTGAATAGAGAAACCCTAGATCTATTCCAAACTAGGAGAAGGTAACTCGAACCCACCATAGGGGTGTTTGTTCTCTCTGCCTATTATGTGCTATATACTTTGATCAATGCTAGAGTTCTTGACTTCATAACAGCGGTTTAGCCATGCCAGTTGTGAGGTTTGAGTACAGTGTTTTTAGTAGGGTACAGTGATTCTGCCAAAGTAGGGAGGGTTTCTGCAATGATCTTGTCTGAATGGTAAGATTTAGCTAAGGTATTGTCTAATTAGGGCTTTTATTTTACTTTTCTTTTCTTTATTTATTTATTTTTTTTTTTTTATTTTTTTTGCTAGGCAATCTTGTCATCATAGCTTCCAAGAAACCTAACATCCCCCAGGTTCTCTAGACTCGTAACGGTAGGCTTTGTAAGAAGATAAGATAAAATGGAATTGGGAGGAAATGGTTGAGGCATTTATTGTTCAATATTCATATAATACATAGATAGAGGTTATCACCCGGGAATTGGAGGTGACTCGTCAAGAGCCTAAGGAAAGTTTTGTAGCCTTTTTTAATAGATGGAAGGCAAAAGTTGCCAGGATAACAAACAGGCCTTCAGAAAAAGATCAAGTTCGAATTGTTGTAAGGAATTTGCATAATAAGCTATTATAGAAGATAATAGTTCTCCCTCTCTTTAATTTCAAAGATCTACATGAGATTAGGGTCCAGATCGAAGATACAATTAACCGGGGAATTATAGTGGAAGGAAATGAGCCCATAAAATAGACATTCAAACCTCTTGGATATAAATGAATATTGAAAAGGAAAATGAAATCAAATGGATCAATTGATAAGTACAAAGCAAGACTTTGTGGTCAAGGGTTATAGGCAAACTGCAAGAGTGAATAACTTTGATACCTATTCGCCCATAACATGAATTACATCCACTAGAATGTTAATTGTAATTGATGCTTTAAACAATCTAGAGATACATCAAATGGATGTAAAGACTACATTCTTGAATGGTGATCTGAATGAAGAAATCTACATGAAACAGCTAGAAGGTTTTGTTGTTCCGGGCAAAGAAAAGAAAGTGTGCAAATTAGTAAAATCATTGTATGGTTTGAAACAAGCACCAAAATAATAGCATGAAAAATTGGACAACATCATGATGATAAATGGATTTAAAATCAATGAGTGTAACAAATGTGTTTACATTAAAAACACTGAGAAACGTTATGTCATTGTTTGCATATATGTAGATAATATGTTAATTATTGGTAGCAATAGTGGAATGATCAATTCAACTAAGAAAATGTTGAATACTAAGTTTCACATGAAAAATATGGCAGTAACATATGCGATTTTTGGAATAAAAATAACTAAAACATCTAAAGTGTTGCTCATGGTCTCCTTCAGACTTGGAATACACCAAAATATCATCTATGAAAACCACCACAAATTGATCTAACTAAGGCATGAATATTTTATTCATTAAGCTCATGAACATGCCTGGTGCATTGGTTAGGCCAAATGGCATCACTACGAATTCATAATGGTCGTAACAGGTTCGAAATGCAGTCTTAAGAATATCTTCTTCCCGAACACGCAACTGGTGATACCCAGACCTGAGATCTATCTTTGAGAAATACTTTGCCCCTCTAAGTTGATCGAAAAGGTCATGAATCTTAGGTAGTGGGTATCGATTCTTAATAGTGACTCTATTGAGTTGTCGGTAATCAATGCACAACCTAAGTGTTCCATCTTTCTTCTTAGCAAATAAGGCTAGTGCTCCCCACGGGGACGTACTTGGCCTTATAAATTCCTTGTCCAATAATTCTTGCAACTGTGTCTTAAGTTCTCTCAATTCAGCTGGTGCCATTGAGATCGGTGATGTACCAGGTTGTAATTCAATGGTAAAGTCTATTTCTCGCTTTGGGGGTAGTCCTGGTAATTCCTCTGGGAATACATCAGCATATTCGTACACCACACAAGATAGTCCTAGTTCTATACGATCTTTATCTTCCAGAACTAAGCTGGCTAGCCATCTAGCCAAGTGATCGTGCCACTTTGATTTTTGAAGTGCCGATGATAAAGAATCTTGTTTATCCCCCTTAAATTGGAATCGCGTTCCCCCTTAAATTGGAATCGCGTTCCGTCCTGAGATCACTGTCTTTCGATAGCAATCAATGATGGCTCTATAGGTTGATAACCAGTCCATTCTGACGATAACATCAAATTCTGACATTTCCATGACTCGTAGGTCGCACATTAAACGCAAATTGGAAACTCCTAGTTCACATGATTTGCATACAAGATCTACTCGAGTTTGACCTCCTAACAGTGAAGCTACACTCATAGTCTTTTCTAATCATTCAGGTTCTAATCCCAAAGGTGTAACACATATAGCAGATATGAAAGTAAAGAGTGTGATGCTCCAGAATCAAACAAGACTTGTACACAAGAGTTCATAAGGATGAGTGTACCTTGAATCACTGAAGGATTTCCATTGTCTTCTCCTTCTTGGAGTGTAAAGACTCTCCCGGTGGCACCTTGATTTGGCACCCAAGGTTTCCTTGCATTGGCATCTCTTGGTTGTTGAGTTCTCGATTGTCCCACATTCTGATTAGCTGGCGGCTGACCTCTGCCGGATTGGGAATTTTGCACAGCTCATGTTCCCTGAGTTAGCGCGCATTTGTTCCATTGAGTAGCTCCTCCTTTATTGATATAGTAGCCTGATCTTTGAGGGTAGTTGTTCCTAAAGTGACCTTCTTGGCCACACTCATAGCACCTTCTAGTCCTTTCTCCATTACGCTGCTCAGCATTGTACCCTTGCTGTTGTTGCGGCCCCCTAGCATAAGGTACCAAAGCGACAGGGGTCCTATTGTTCCTTGAGGGTCCTCCGTTTTTTTGCTGGTTGGCTCTAGACTGCTGACCTTGGGTCCTTGCAGTGTCCATCTTCTCTCTTTCTAGAGTAAGAGCCCTATCTACTACTTGTGCATAAGTAGGTAGCTGCACCGCAACCAACTTGTCTCGGATTCCCGAATCAAGTCCCCACTCAAAGCTCCTTACTTTGTCTGTTTCTTTTGCCATTATAGCTATGGCATAGCGAGAAAGGGCCTCAAACCGATTAGCATACTGTGTCACAGTCATGCCCCTTTGTTTCAGTTGGAGAAATTCTTGGATCATTTCTTGCCTTACTGAGTTTGGGAAGTACTTTTCCATAAACAACTCATCGAACTGTCTCCAAGATAGTTCTGCCAGTTGAAGGCTTTCCTTAATCATTGTCCACCAGAAATCGGCCTCCCTATTAAAGAGAAATGAAGCGAGGGACACTTGGTCCTGCTCGTTCTGAATCTCTAACGTCTCCAGTATTTTTCACTTGCCTTATCCATGCCTCAGCCGCGTAGGGATTGGGTTGTCCGAAAAAATTTTGGGGCTTGAGTTTTTGAAATTTCGCTATTAATTCTACTTTGTTGTTTTCACGCCTGGGTTGGTTTCTTAGTTCTTTAGTAATTGCCCGAACGAAATTCATGATGTCACTGTTGTTGTTGTTGTTGTCGTTCTTATTGTTGTCATTGGATCAATTTGCCCTAGTTCTTCCTGCCATTTTCTGTGTGAAGGATATTATTATTACACCCTTTATTTATTTATTTTTGTATATATATGTATATATTTATTTAAAGATAAAATGCAAATAAAATAGTCGAACACACACTTTTAAATACTAGGATTTCATTATGGAAAATAAAAGATCAATACATTAATAAGGATAGAAAGAAAGAAAGAAAAAAAAATCTTCATTCTACTACATAATCATGGGGACTCTCTTACTCCATTACTAATATTTGTAAGACTAGGTCTTTACAATGAAATCGCAACAAAATTTTTAAGTAACCTAGCCTACCCCTCTTCTGTCCCTTTTTAATTGAAGAGCCATGGATAATGTTGATGCACCTGCGAGGCATACTCCCAGCTCTCATCGTAAAGTCCGTAGCACCTCCAACGGATTAACAACCTAGGTCCTTCCCGTCCCTCATACTGGCTCAGAATCCTTACAGGGACCTCTTCGTATGTGAGTGGGTCGCGGAAGTCCACCGTCCCATGCAGTAGGGATGATCTTTCCTGCCGGTGAGGCTACTAAGAAAATGTCCCGCTGGTGGAAGAGGTTGGTGTAATTGTCAGCCAAGGCTGGTGGTAAAGGGTCGCCTCGTATATGGCCCCAGCAAATTCCCGGACAACTCTTACAGGTCCCATGTATTTGTCATCCTCCCTCCGATGCTTCCACTCACAAGGTATGATTGGTTCTAGCCTCACGTATACCCTAAGTCCAACTGGAAATGCCACCTCCCGCGCCACATTTCCTGAGTCCGCCTCGCCTTCCTCAAAGGCATATTCTATGGAGGAGATGGGATCCGACTCCATCTCGCTCTCTTCTCCTTTGGACTCTTTAGGGGGAAGGACGACTAAGGGTTCCACAAAATTTATTTCCTCATCATCTTCCTCGTTCGCCTCTTCCATCATATCTTCTCCCAGCTCCTCCTCCTCTGGTTCAGACTCGAAAACCTCTGCCTATATTTCTGGATCGCTTAGTAAAGGCTCCTTTTCTAGGTCAGATTCTGGGTCCGAGAGCCAGTCATCGCTGTGTGGTGGGTTCAACATCCTACAAAGGAAATACAACACTATTACACTCTTGGTAAGGCTTTATATCATAAATGTTTTTAATTGAAGCGTAGTAAAAGACGTATGCTTAAGTCCAGCCAAGGTCTCAAGGGTGTCTAGACCTAAGCTCTGATACCATGTTGTAACGCCCCAAATTTTTTTTGGACATCATAATAAGATTTAGAAATTAAAGTCAACGTTGCCACCATACATCACTAACATCCATTAATTAACAACCCAAAAATTTAAAGTTTTCAAATTACGATTCTAATAAAACTTAAAACTTAGTCTCGGTACCAAAAAAAAAAATTACACAAATATAAAAGAAAACTAGAGAAAAACTAGGAAAGCTTAGAAAATGGTTCATGGAACTTGGGGACTCTTCAAGCTAACCAAGGCTGAATGTCCCCTTGCAAGGCCTCGGTGTTTCCTTCATTTTCTTCGGTACCTAGCATAAAACGCCAGGGCAACGAGAATGCCAATGAGCGACGAGCTCAATAATATACAACAACTCGGAAATACCCGCCCCGATAATAATACCCACAATTAATGAATAATGCGTAGTAACAGAATAACAGGTAGTATTTAATAAGCATAACAGGAATGTCATCAATTAAATAATAACAGTAGATAATAAATAAATAAATGGCAAACGGAAACAGTAATTCATCATAAGGAAAATGCACATTTTTCTTTTTAAATTCTCATAGATTTAGTTTATTGGATTAATTTAAGTAACTCTCCGCGGAGCACTATTTCCACTCAACCGCTAAGCAATGGCCACGGGCAATTTTGACTCCCCCTTGGTCAAATGTTCAAAAGTTACTTGCTGTAACTACTAATGATGCCCACGCACCAAGGTTATGTACCCGAGTCGTGACATCACGGTCTGCCCCAAGGGAACGGTCTATGTTGTGACACCCGCACCACCAACCTTATATCGCCTACACCGATAAAAGTCGAAATACCTTCCTGTGCCATGTTAGGGTTCGCAATTCACTGGCGCAAGCTTCTAAACGGGGCTCACCCCATCACTTTTAAATTTTTAATGTATCATCGGTTTAATTTCGTGTTTCTTTACTTCGTCGAATTCACATTTGTATGCATGTGTAAGTTTTAGTTTGAGAACCACAGTGACCTAATGTTTATATAGCACAACACCATCATATATGACAACCAAAATAAATGTGATAGAATGACTTAGAAATCATCACAAAATTTCTTAAGAATTCACACACTTAACGAACACAAACATGGATAATCACCGAGTGTTCAAACGGTGACGTCCAAGTCTTGAGGACGGTCAAAAATGGGGTGTCTACAGCCAGTCATCGTTGTGTGGTGGGCTCGACATCCTACAAAGGAAATACAACACTATTACACTCTTGGTAAGGCTTTAGATCATAAATATTTTTAATTGAAGCGTAGTAAAAGACGTATGCTTAAGTCTACCCAAGGTCTCAAGGGTGTCTTGACCTAAGCTCTGATACCATGTTGTAACGCCCCAAATTTTTTTTGGACATCATAATAAGATTTAGAAATTAAAGTCAACGTTGCCACCATGCATCACTAACATCCATTAATTAACAACCCAAAAATTAAAAGTTTTCAAATTACGATTCTAATAAAACTTAAAACTTAGTCTCGGTACCAAAAAAAAAAATTACACAAATATAAAAGAAAACTAGAGAAAAACTAGGAAAGCTTAGAAAATGGTTCATGGAACTTGGGGACTCTTCAAGCTAACCAAGGCTGAATGTCCCCTTGGAAAGCCTCGGTATTTCCTTCATTTTCTTCGGTACCTAGCATAAAACGCCAGGGCAACGAGAATGCCAATGAGCGACGAGCTCAATAATATACTACAACCCAGAAATACCCGCCCCGATAATAATACCCACAATTAACGAATAATGCGTAGTAACAGAATAATAGGTAGTATTTAATAAGCATAACAAGAATGTCATCAATTAAAATAATAACAGTGGATAATAAATAAATAAATGGCAAACGGAAACAGTAATTCATCATAAGGAAAATGCACATTTTTCTTTTTAAATTCTCATAGATTTAGTTTATTGGATTAATTTAAGTAACTCTCCGCGGAGCACTATTTCCACTCAACCGCTAAGCAATGGCCACGGGCAATTTTGACTCCCCCTTGGTCAAATGTTCAAAAGTTACTTGCTGTAACTACTAATGATGCCCACGCACCAAGGTTATGTACCCGAGTCGTGACATCACGGTCTGCCCCAAGGGAACGGTCTATGTTGTGACACCCGCACCACCAACCTTATATCGCCTACACCGATAAAAGTCGAAATACCTTCCTGTGCCATGTTAGGGTTCGCAATTCACTGGCGCAAGCTTCTAAACGGGGCTCACCCCATCACTTTTAAATTTTTAATGTATCATCGGTTTAATTTCGTGTTTCTTTACTTCGTCGAATTCACATTTGTATGCATGTGTAAGTTTTAGTTTGAGAACCACAGTGACCTAATGTTTATATAGCACAACACCATCATATATGACAACCAAAATAAATGTGATAGAATGACTTAGAAATCATCACAAAATTTCTTAAGAATTCACACACTTGTTCTTTTAGCACTATATGGTCAAACAAAAAAAATATGAAACCCATACCAAACGAAGTGCAAGCATTATAATATTTTAAATAGTGCTAGTTCATTGAGTTAGGAAAATATTCCAAGAAGAATACCAGGGGTGAAAATGATATTAAAATAGAGAAATAAATTTCTGAGACAGTGGGTTATATTAACCTCCAGCACAGATGATCCAGGTTTGAAAAATAAAAAGGGCCCTCAAACGGTGTCAAAAAGAGACATGGTTAGAACGATTTGATAAATTTTTGAATTTAGAACATATTTCCAGAAGAGTGTGAAGGCTGAAAACCAGCCGAAGATGGTCAAATAATTTTTATAAGAAAACTGGACAAATTTAGTCACATTTTGGAAAAATTGGTGTTTCTCTCTCAATACTTAACAAACAATTATGAAACCAGCGGCGTTTGAAAGGTAACTTAAAAATATAACTTTTTCAATTTGAATCACTTGAAAATTCATTCTATGGAATAAACGGTGACCTGATAAAGTCAGCATTGCTGCTGCCTCCAAACAGCAATAAAGTTAAAATTATATTCAGGCCATGAAACGTTGTCAAATAATTTTCTTCAATATTCTAGCACCATGGAAACATGTTAAACTAACTCCAGTAGTCTCAGATTTTATGAAAGTGTTCTCATGAGTTTGTTTAGGGTTTATTCAAAACGGATTAAAATTCTGTTTTGCTGGAAGTTCATTAGTTTGCAAAAAACACACTTTGTATCCACCATGAATCACATGCAGAAAAAAAAATGTTTCTTACTATTTTTCCCATGTGAAACTCTAACCCTTCATATTTACTTTTATTAGTGATAACAGAAAATAATATTTATGAAGAGTAAACACAATTTTAAAAGCATGCAAGATTGATTAACAATGAATAATACTTGAACACGTAAAGAGCAAAATCAGTAGCTAAACCATTTAATCCATACGTGTAAGAAGGACAGAAATCATATAATCATAAGATTATCATTCTATCCAAATGTGACATGCATTGAGCATTTGTGTAATATCAATACACACTCTTGCATATTTTTAATGTATAGATTAAGTTAGGAAAAACATCTAAGGGAGGATAGTAGTTGAGTATTTTTACCTCAATGAAGTAAAAAAAAAAAAAAATCCCAAGTGTTGGGCCTTTCTTCCCCTCTCTTCCCTCCTTTTCCTCTTGCTTTCTCTCCCTCTCTTTCTCTTTGTTTTGCTCAGTTACATGTGTGTGTAATGAGGCTAAATAGTGCTCCTAATTATAGGAGTTTGAGGGCCTAATTTATTATTATTATTGTTATTATTTTATTTTTACTTTACTTCTCTTTTTTTCTTAGGAACTATCATCTAAGCTTAGATGATAGCTTACAGTTTGCTGCATGCCATGGCTGCTTAATCAAATGCTTGGAATTGCCATCTATGCATGTAGGCATGGAGTGTGGCAGCAAGCAAAGGCATGTATTGGCATGCTTGGGCCAAATTCCTCTGCCCAACATAAATTTTGATTTCCTTTTTTTTTTTTTGTATTTTAATTTATTTTATTTTATTTATTTATTTATTTTTATTTTTTTTTTGCAGAAAGATATATAATTTTATTTAAAGGAATCTAATATTGGTATTAACCATGATGCTATTAACAATATAATTCGATAATTTAATAATCACTGTTAACTGACTTAATATTTTTAGTAATCAAACTAATTAGTTATCTAAAAATTCAGGTTCTCACATGCATCTCATGAGTTGCACACGTCCTGATATAGAGCATGCAATAAGTAAATTGAGTAAATACACTACCAACCTAGGAAAGGACCATTGGACAGCAATAATTAGGATTCTTTGATACCTAAGATACACTCGTGACTATAGGCTGTACTATACTAGATATCCAGTGGTCCTAGAAGAGTATTGCGATGCTAATTGGATATCTGACGCTGACGAATATAAATTTATTGCTTTAGACAAAGTAAGAAAAGAATCATATGTATAATGGTGAGTCTCGTCACATTCGTCATAGACATAACACCATTAGGCAACTGCTCTCTAATGGAATAATTTCCATTGAGTTTATAAAGTCAAAAGAAAATATTGCGGATCGATTGACAAAGGGTTTGCCCAAAGAGCAAGTGTTGCGATCATCGAAGGAAATGAAATTAAAGCCTATCACTTAAGAGTTATCGTAAACCTAGTTGACTGGAGATCACAAGATCTAACTTTAAAGGGACAACCAAATTAATAATGACTCGTTAGAATCACTAAAGAGTAAAACTCCTACCCATTTCTAGGATGAGATAGTGATTACCTGCAACACTAAATAGGTTAAGCTTTTCTTTTAATAAGACTCATAGCTTGAAAATTCAAGTGGGGTATACTAGGATACTCTTTATGAAAATCACCTATATGAGTGTGAACTGGGTCAGTTCTACAAGAATTGAAAAGGCTAAATTCTCTAAAACAC